AGTGATATGGTGTGATGTCCCTTTCTCACGGTGTGAAAATAGAAGGGGACGGGATACTACCCTATAAGTTTCTTATTGGTTATTGTAGTTGGCGCTGCTTTTAAATTCACACTTAAATTAGAGTGAATGTGGAATGACACATTTGGTGGGTAATCGTCAGTATGATCTGTCTGTTTGGGGGTCAGAGAGGACTGCGACTCTGCGAGCCCCTTTTGCAACCAAAAAAAATCCTATGTTGAAATGACATTACTCTCACAGAAATCGGAGATCAGGCTAAGAAGTCCAAACGTGATAATAAGATCATTTTGCTCTTTGTAAAGCAATGCTCAATAACAACTTTCCATGTAGGCTAACCAGAACCATCACAATGGGCATGCCAGTTCTACAGGTATCTTGAGGAATCTGCCACCTACTATATTTTTCATTTGTTGATGCTCGAATGCTAAAAAATGTATTCCCCGTCATATAACAGGAGTCAATTGGACTTAGATCTAGGGTCTATATTGCTGGTTTAACGAAACCACCGATCCGAAATTGAGCAGGTTGTGCAACTTGTGCTTTGACTATGGGACAAGTATGGATTTTGGGACATAACACGCTCACCGTTTTCAATTAAAAGGCGACGCGCCACAAGATTATGACTTTTATTTTTCTCAATACCCCGCTGAGCCGATACTTGCATGCCTTAAAGTAAAAAGAACATTCGTTTTACAAAGAGAAGGAAGCCATAAGAAGGTGACAACATCGAAAACTGTGGCAAAATCTATTAACATTATAACAATTACACGTCACAATAATAAGTCATGTTTCAATAATTTTGTTCAACACGAGGGGAATTCAGTGACATAAATGGCAGATGCAAAAAAAATAATTATTGAAATTATGAGCATACTACCACATAACTTGTATACCAAAAATGAAACTTAGCTATAGAGAGTTATTCAAAATCCTTAAAAGATTATGAAATTTAAACTAGATATTGTCGGTGATTGGAATGTTGCGTTGAACCCAAGTACTAACTCACTATCCTTCTTGGGTGACCTAGTGTGATGTCAAACTCGCAACGTCGTTCGTGGAAGATCCAAGTTTATGAATGTTTATAAAACCACCCACTGTAATGACTATGGCTTCACATGGCATCCATTTGGTAATAATCAACCTGATTTAAGCAGGGTCTTCACTAAAACGCAAATTCACTATGACTTTCATTAGATCAAAGCACTCGTGTGAGACGCTTTGGTCCCATTACACCAATAGTGCAACCCCTACCCAACGATTACTAAATTAACATAACCTGTGTGGTAGGACGTAAGTATATAAATAGTGACACAACATGTTTTCATTTCATTGAATATGAAAATTTTGAAAGACGGGGGCCTCAACTATGCTAGTTTTCTTTTGAGTAATAAATTGAATGGTTTAAAATGAGTCTAAGGTCTCTCTCTCTCTCTCTCTCTCTCTCTCTCTCTCTCTCTCTCTCTCTCTCTCTCTCTCTCTCTCTCTCTCCCTCCGTGTCTCTCTCCCTCTCTCTCTCCACACACCTTCTGATAATGTATTCCTCCACAAACCGGTGCAAGTGCAAGTGAGTTTGTGGTCTTCCCTCACCAGGCAACACCACCTCCCCCCTGCCAAACAGAGCTCCTGCACCGGTATGTTTCCAAAAGAACGAACATAAGGTCTCTGCCCCAAATCCCTGGCCCCCTCCATTTTTGAAAAGACAACACTCCATTTTCCAACAGGCAGCAGGTCCCTTGAAAATCCAAAGATCTGCTGCGGCCAGTCCTCCAAGTCCCTATTTTTCCACCCTCTCAATGCCCCCCTCCAAAGAGTCCAAACAACTCCACCTCATTTTCCACCCTTTCAATGACCATGTTGGCCCTACGGAGAACCAGCCTGAGGTTGAAAAAGCCTGACGATGTTGTATAATGCATCTCTTTAAGGCTGCAGGCAGATGCTACACCGTACTATGTTGGACTGAATCCCATCCCCTCTTTCTCTGATGTGGGACAAGGAAAGTGCCTGCTACACCCGTCTCTCTCTCTCACACACACACACATACACACACATACACACACATACACAACACACACACACAATAAAAAGAAAGAAATAAATAAATTATTGCCCTTTTTTTAAGTTTTTTTTTTTTTTTTTTAAGAAGTGCTCCAACCTACTCGTGGGGAGCAGCACGTGCAAAAATCATTCCCCTTATGAATGCATTCCTTACATTTTCCAGTTAGCCAACAGCACCAGCGGGACCACTCCCACACTCATGTATCACCTTGAACTTAGGCCTGTCAAGCGAAGGACGTAGTTGCTATCACACTCACCTTACCCCATAGATTCCATAATGCACCAGTTGCCAAGGCATCAAGTCACGGTTGCATCAGGTCACATCAGGGTAAAGGGTTGCGAGGCTGCATGGATGGGACTCATGATGGGTGGACCATCCTCCTGTCACTGGTCCTCCCGGAGCAGGGATCTGCAATGGCTACAACATATGTGACCACTGACTGACCGGCCATAGCAGGTTACAGGCCTTCTCTCTCTTTTGACTGAACTACTTTTGGCTGAGGATCATATAAGACTTCCTCACGGATTTGAAGATNGATTTGAAGATTAAAAAAAAACAAATCCGACTAAGACACACCCCTTCAGACCCCCTTGGCCTCAAACCAATTTATACCCCCCCTTTCCCACCCTCGACGGTGCTTATAAAGAGAACGACCCTGGGCAATTACACAAAACCTCCACCCCCCCAAAGAAGGGAAAAGAATAGAAGGCCGATTTTCGGCTGCACTGGTGCCCCACGCAGATGACCCCTGGCAACTTCCCAATGCACGGCCAGACGGGCCATGTGGCTTAGGGTCTAAAAAGTATAAAATGTCCATTTTAACGGACTGGCTGTTGTTCACAAATATTCCTAGCAGTAAATCTCATATAGCCGCAGCATTTTTCAACGATAATCTTTCTAACCCTTTCTTCACATCGTCCTTCTTTTTGGTACTTAGCATTTCTGAAAACCCACCTTTTCCACACTACCCTTCCCAGCAATCCATTTCACAACATTCTCCACCGTATCCGCAGGCCTACTACTGTAAACCGGCTTGCCAACCACTTCGGTCTTACTACTCTGCCCCTGATACTCCTCATCTCTTCCTTATTGTTGAAGCACCAATACCTTTCACATATATCGGCCACGGGAACAAACAGTAGTTATGCTAGTTCATGATGGAAGTACGAAAAAAGGTGGCCTAGTATGTACTATAACGGAGACTAGGACTGCTTAAGACAAACTAGGGGTCTGGCTCATGCCCAAGGTGAGGAAAACACGGATGATCTCTGCAAGTGACTCACTAAATGACAGACTCTTGAGGCTGGAGTGCCTCCAACAGAAGGATTTACCTATGGGATTTGCAGTAGAATGCCTACACCTAGCGCTCAAAGCCCATACAACGGGTCATGCTTTAATCATGACCCGTTGGCTGAGGGGGAAGGTGAGGACCCGCTTAGCCCTGATGTCTACAACCACTGTCCAGTTATCTCCCATTGGATGATAGGACAAACTGTCCTGTGTGGTAAAACACTCAGTTAACTCACGAGTAGGACACAAATGGTTAACGGGGACCCCCATTTTCGGGCCCTGGTTAACGAGTCCAAAACTGAAATTAAGGTTTCGGGGTTAAATTTGATTTTTGATTTTTGATTTTTTATTTTTTGCCTGTTCTTGTTTTGGTTCAAGGTTGGTGTGTGCCAAATTTTGTGTCATTTGGAGAATGGGATGGCATGGCAATTGGTCTGAAAATTAGGGTCTCCGTTAACCTTTTCTTGAGTAGTACTTCAGGGACAGTAAAGAAAGAAAAAGGGTGTGAGGAAATCTCTTGAAGCACAAGGCAACACCAACAAGGCAGGGAAACTACACGGCAGAGAAGCAAAAGGGCACACCGTGGGCGGCAAGCCAGCAGAGGAGTTAAGCACAAGGCAACACCGACAACACAGCCACACCACAGTGTGCACACAGCAGATTCAGAACGATATGTGAGGCTTCCACGATGGGCAGCAAGGCAGCAGCACATCACCTACGGATGTCACGAGTGAACCCCACAGGCAGTTGGTTCCCACCAAACGCTGAGCCAGGCAGTCAAACAAAAATCAATCATCACCTGCAGGAAACAGTTATCCCGAACTGAGCGCCCATGGGGGCCCTAAGAGCGCTACAAGCATTCCAAAGGAATGACCGACTAATTGACACTGCTTAAAGGTGCTCAGTAATAAAAATACCAGGAGGACAGACAGGGAACATAGGAGAACGACACACAAAAATAGATAGACATACTACACTCTGATTGTGTGTGTGTGTGTGTGTGTGTGTGTGTGTGTGTGTGTGTGTGAATTGTGTGCGGTATCTGGGAGAGTGTTAATTAGACACTGCTGTTCCTCCATAGGCATGGGGTAGCAGATGCCAGGCGCACCTCGTGGAAAAGTGCTCAGAGTCCGTCTTTGCATTAGCCGCCACCTCTAGGCCTTCACATTCACGGGCAGCCGCGCCATACTCCCATGCCACCACAGAATAAGACGGCAATTGTGAGAGGTAGCTATCTCGCAGAAAAAAGACTCCTCCAGATAATGGATTTCTTATCGAGACTCTCTCTCTCTCTCTCTCTCTCAAAACACACACACACACACACACACACACACACACCACACACACACACACACACACACACACACACACACACACAGACAATCGGGCCCAGCGCCCAGCGCCGCCCACGGCTTCGATGATCAAACGAAGCAAAATAGGCATCAACAGTAGAACAACATAACATCAGGAGAAATTTCGACGAAGGCTGTTTGCTAGAAATAAAGCCCGAAGTAATAGGTTATTCCATTCCTGATCGAGGGCTGTGTGAACTGTGTGCCAAAAATAGAACGGGAAACTCACATCAGGAGAAACACTGTTTGCCAAACAACAACGTACACCTTCGTCCATCGGGACATCTGTTAAATTTGGAACGATACAGAGGACACTAGCATGGCCACTGTACGTCAAAAAAGAGAAAATAAAGAAGAAAAACGTACATCCGTTAAAATTGGAACGATACAGAAAATATTAGCATGGCCCCTGTGCGTAACAAAAAAAGAAAATAAAAAAGAAAACCTTCGTTTGTAATTTTCCCTAAACCTTCCTTTGTAATTTTCCCTTTGTCTATTGATAACGCGTACTATCATATGCGTTAGAGCTGACATGCTGATTGGTACTCAGAAGATTCTCCGCCAACACAGGCCACACAGCCGTGATCGAGAACCACCCGCATCCCTGAGATCGAAAGCTGTGTGGCCACTGGCCAGTGTGCCAAAAATAGCACGGGACGCTCGCATCAGGAGAAAAAGGCTACCTGCCAACAGTAAAACCTCCTTCCTTTTTTTTATTTTTTTGCGTGGATCCAACCATGGATCAGATATTGAACTGATAAGAATGATACTACACTTTATCTTTAACCAAAAAAACAGAAAGACATTTCGTCCTTCGGTTCACTTTCTCCAGTCGCTTTTCACGGGCCGTATTATTTAGTGCGTTCTGCATGGTACAGAACGTAATCTCCGACAGCAGACTGATTCAGACATCGCTTCTTCCTGTCACAGTTCGGGCTCGATCAGACGTGCAGACGCCACCTGATAAACTCCATCTCGTGTGCTTTTCAAGGTGCTCTTGGTCCTACTAGCTGCATTCCTGAGGCGGTCGATCATGCGCTCAACAAGGTGGCCACCTGGAGGCATAGGGCCCCTGCGGTACCGGTACAGCCACCACGAACCCACACTCGTCATCACTGCACAGGACAAGCCATCACGGTTGCAAACCAAGCAACAATGATCAGAAAATCTCTCACGAATGTCATACGTCACCCATCACAACTCCACCTGGAGGCATACTAGGGCCCCTTCCATATCGGTCGAGCCACCAAGAAACTGCACTTGCCATCATTTCGAAGAAAGAAACGGCAGCACAGTCACAAACCACACAGATAAACAGAATTAAAAGAAAGGGGCAAGTACGTTTGTGTCCCAAACGAAGTTTGAAAGGGCAAAAGAAACAATAATGGGCAATGAAAAAAAGGCCGTAGTTCGAAAATGCAGTCATAACATTACAAGGCGGTAACATCAGGCCCCACGTTTGAAAAGGCAGAAATTCGTTTTTCGTGGCCGATTTTTTGTTTTTTTTGTTTTTTTTTCGTTTTTTTTTTTNCCATCATTTCTTTCTTCGCATTCACGTTCGTCGTCATGCACGATCACCAATCTGTGCTCCCAAATGTCATCCTATCACCCATCTCGTTCGTCGCCCTGTCTCTTATACACATCTAGATGTGTAAAAAGAGAAAGGGCACGGTGTCATAATTACTGGGGTCTGCGGTAGTGTCAGACGGGAAAAAAAAAAAAAAAAAAAAAAAAAAAAAAAAAGCCCTACAGTCGGGCCACGGCCGTTGGGTGTGCTCGAGACATCTGGGGCATGGACAATCTGGGGTGTGGCCAAGACATCTCGGCCGCGGCCAATCTGGGGTGTGGCCGAGATGTCTCGGCCGTAGCCGATCTGGGGTGTGGCTGAGGCATCTCGGCCGTGGCCAATCTGGGGTGTGGCCGAGACATCTCGGCCGTAGCCCAACCATGGGGCCTAGTTTTGTCGAGCCTGGGTCCCATTGTACTCTTTTCTGGTACTCTCTGAAAAGAACAAAAAACAACAAGATACGAAATAAAAAAGAAAAACAAAAACGCAACTGCTGTACAGTGGACGTTAGAGCAGTTGGAGCCCTCCTCGTTGCAAGTGTCAGCTCTCCGTGGAAAGCGCAGGTAAGAAAAACGCACAACAAAAAACACAAAGAAAAAGGATGAAACAAGGTGGGATTCTGGCCAGATGCATTTGTCGTCCGCACGTCTATTCTCCGTGGAAAACGCTCTGCTCGTTGGCAGGGCACGAAATCAAGTGTCGGCAGCAAAAAAGAAAGACAGCACAACAAGGAACGAACCTAGCTAATAATCTGGGCAGATGCATTCGTGGAAACGGCCTACGAAAAGGCGATATTTCCGCCTTTTTTGAACTTGGGCATTCTTCATTGCCCATTAGTGTTATGTCTGCCTTTTCGAACTACGGCCATTTTTTCGTTGCCCATTAGTGTTTTTTTTGCCTTCACAGTTTGAAAGTGTGCTACTACCTGCGCCGATTAGGAGATTTCGGCCGTTGATCTTTGCGATCTACGGTCAATATCTCTTAATTCGTGCAAGTGGGACCTCGCCCCCGCACATGTTTCTAAAAGAAAACACAGAGGAAGAGAAACAATGGTCGCACACATAAGCCGTCAGTCAAACGAGTGGAACGAGTCACGGCTAGCTATAGTTCTCTCTCAGTTTCACATCTCACAACCTACCTCCTACCACTACTCCTAAGGCTATGGAGGGGACCCTTATAGGAATAGCTACCTAGCTATAGTTCTCCCTCAGTTTCACATCTCACAACCCTTGCAAGAATAGCTACCTCTCACAAGGGATTCATGTTGCCCACCGCCCTCATCGGCTTCGGTCAGGGAGCAGGGTGGGCCCGCGGGTAATAAGAGGGGGGGGGGGGAGAG